GCTAACATTAGTTTAATAATATTGAAATGTATTCATTAAGATTCAATCTATGAATATACAATATTATTAACATGGTAACATTTGTATATGATTAAACATGCTTGTAGTGTGTGTGTGTGTGTGTGTGTATACGTGTGGGCTGAGGTCTTTCAATCCCCCTTTTTCTAAACACTCAGGTTTCTTGTAAGAAGATACCTTATCTCTGGTCATTGTTTAGACCAGTGGTAGTCAACCTTTTTCTACCTACCGCCCACTAATGCATCTTTCTTGATGGAAAAATGTCCCTACTGCCCACTAGTTTTTGCGCAAGTGCGGAATATCTTTTAGAAAGGAGGGTGTTTTAAAAAATAAATAAATGTACGTACATGTATCTTTTTATTTCTACTTAATGCATGTTTATAATGTTTTTATCTTTATAAAGTTTAATGAGAAAACAATAAAGTAAATTGAAATTACCTTTAACTAGTGATTAATGAGATCCTTGAGGTTGATGGTGCAAGACTAAATATTTGATATCTGGTTCGATTTTCGTAAGGAACAAACAAAGGTCTCCTCTTTCGGTGATATTCAGATGATTTCTCTGTTTGCTCATAAAATGATTTCTCATCTGTGCATCAGCTCCTCTCCCTCCTCAATTTCCCTCCCCACCTTTTTTTTTTTACCTTTTTTTTTCTATTTTTTTTTTTTTTAAACATTCCTTATAGCAATGCCCAGTAGGAAGGCTGAGCTAGGCAGCCCACTTACTATTATTAGCTAACAACAATTCTCTCATTTTCCTTCTTTCTCCTATTCTACAAGTACTGTGCTCCTTCTTTCTCCTATTCTACAAATACTCTGCTCCTTCTTTCTCCTATTCTACAAGTACTCTGCTCCTTCTTTCTGCTATTCTACAAATACTCTGCTCCTTCTTTCTCCTTTTTACAAATACTCTGCTCCTTCTTTCTCCTTTTTACAAGTACTCTGCTCCTTCTTTCTTCTATTCTACAAGTACTCTGCTCACAGACAAACACACATACACTTACAGACACACACACACACACTCACAAACACACTCACACATACTTAGACACACACACTCACAGAGAAAAACATACACACACACACATACACATTCACAAATACACTTGCAGACACACAAATTATTAATATTAAATGTTCACCCAGCCTCCCTACCTGGAGAGCTGGTGTGGATCTGTCCCTGGGGTCCAGTGGGGCTTCACTTCACTTCACTTGGGCGGCAGAGTTCTAACCGAGGTGGCGAGGGAGCTCTAACCTCTCTGCTTTGCTCCCTCACAGGCTGTCTACTGATGCCAGGAGCCAGAATATGACATCATATTCCGGCTCCCGCGGCATCAGCAAACATCGCGCGAGGGAGCAGAGCAGTTAGAGCTCCCTTGCCACCTCAGATTAGAACTTTGCCGTGCCAGGGGGTCCAGAAGGTGACCTGGCAGGAGGAAGCGCTTCCCTCCTGCCGGTCACTGAAATCGTGCGCCCCCAAGCTGCTCGCGCCTGCCTACCCACTCTAAAAAGGAGAAATCCTCTCAAAAAGAGGATTTAGCCACTGGAGTCCTGAAACGCCCATAAGTGGGCGGTAGGGACAAGGTTGACGACCCATGGTTTAGATAGTTGCATTCCACAGTTTGGTTCATAGAGTGAGAAAGAAATAAAATGTGCCTGTCTTTTGCATTGTGTTACAAAATGGAGTCACATCTGCTAAGTAGTGACTATACAGTATACACTTTTTATTTCAATCTTATCACAAAATATCTGACAACAAAATACCTCACACCCCACATACACACACACTGACAACTCACGCAAATAAACTCCCACATATACACAAAGAGGCACTACTTAGACTTGATTACTGATGGTAATTGTATTTGTACATGTGCCTTTTTATTTGGTCGCTTTATACATTGTATGTCTGTTATTATATTTTATGGTGGATTTAATAAAGTATTTAGAAGCAGATTTGACTTGCTGTTATATTAGTGTGCATCCTTATCTTGTTGTAAATGCAATATTCACCAAAAATAGTTATGCATTTGCACACTGAGATGCATTAATGATTCTACATTCAACTTACTTTCCTGCACAATGTTTTGGTCTAAAATTTACATTTAATTTGTTTATTTTCATCACAAAGCTCACACATCTCAGTGTGGATGTACTTGTGGGTTTATATTGTATATGGTTTGGCATTACTATTGTTATTTTACATTTTGGTGTGTTATATTTGCCTTTGGTAACTTTGATAATTGTTAATGATTAATTTAGTTTGTGGACATTTTTATGGTATACCAAGTATTTCCTTTTACCTTCATGTATATTTCTAGTTTTTCTTAGTGTGAAGAAGACTTGTTGACGCTTGGTGGCTTCGTTCTCCCAGTTCCGGTTTAGTTAGGGATTGTGTAATTGGACACTGTTTCTTATTGCCATTTGCATCATCAGGAAAAGGTGTCCGACAGATCCTACCCTTAAGTGCCTCTCTTTCTGTTTTCTGATTGGTTGTTTTACTTTTACACTTTTTGCTGCTATTGTAGTTTACAGTAAAGAATTTATATTAAATATTATATATATTGAATATAATTTGAACACGAAGGCTTTAATAGTTTATTATAATCCCAGTGGGCCAGCTCAGGCCTGAAGAGGGCAAAAGCAACTAGCCTGTGCAGAAAGCACACACATCTCCGGGCTAGCAAAAGCCTGACTCAATCCCTGCTAGCAGCCTCACTCCTCCAGTACTGTGGCAATAGACGTGCCATTGCACCTTTGCTATTTTAACATTTTTAAAAAGGGTTTTAGGCTGCAGCCCATATCGCCTATACCATTCCTTCTATGCTTGCGGTCCAGTTGATAATTGCCCCTGGTCAGCCCTCCCATGCTAAAGTTATTTTGACTGAATTGAAAATTAAATCACAAAATCCAAGGTGTACGAACAACCTAAAAGGGCTAAAAGCCAAACACTGTAGCATTTTGTTCCATACAAATTATTTTGGCCAAAATTTCGCAATATAATTTTCAGTTTCATTACAGCTATTTTACTTGCCCCGTGAGACCCAGACTGCTGTCAATCCATCCATCCATGCCTGCAGGTTAGGTTGCCACCCATCATGGAATAGCGGTATTTCCTGGTTCTTGCACATTCTTCTCTTTGTCCAGGATTGCTGCTCATTAGGGAAGATTGAACAATCTCGCTTTGGACATGCAGTTGAGCGTTCCAAAGGAACTGGTGTTCAGGGCCATCTTTAGTAGTATTAATTGGGACCGCCACCTCTTACAATGACCCATAGACATAGACACAAACACAGACAGAAACACATACAGACATATGCACGCAGACAGATACACAGATATACGGATGCACTCAAATAGACACACATCACCCAGATACACATGGTTACATGTGCACACAGACTGATTCCTCCTCTTTTTCCTCTTGAAGCAGAGGCTGTCCAGGAGATTGGCAAGCTGGCAGGGGACCAGGTAAAGTCTCAGCCTGTGGGGCATAGACCAGGAGCCTAAAACTGGATTGTTTGCAATTAAGAGTAGCTGGGCACGGAATGCAGTCAGACAGTGAAACATATAGGTGTCCCCGTCTCTGCCGAGGAATCCAAAGGACAGCTGTTGTGGGTCCTTGTAAATTATGGTCCCCAGGGCAGTGGCCTTTCTTAACATGTGGTAAAGAACACTCTCCTGGTGTTCTGTGCGTTCCTGCTTGCAAACACCCCAAATCAGCGAGAGTGCAGGAAACGGATATCCTTACACAACCTCTTCAAATTAAAGGAACTCCAAATGCCACAACAATACAGTGCACTGTAGTGGTTATGGTGCCAGGATACAGCATCCACATTGAAGAAACCGGAATGTGTTTAATACCATATAATTTATTCATTAAATCACCACGGAACCACAATAAAAAAAAAACTTACATTGTTATGTAGCCACATTTTTCTAAAAGACCCAGTATAAAAACTCAGTAGAGGAATGATATGCCGCCTCTGAAGGGTTGCCCAATTTGCGGCAGGCTGCTGTGAATAGAATAGGATTCACTGTTTGTTTTTTGTTGGTTGTGTTTTGTTAGCCACCAAATATCCACCTTGCTGTAGGTACTTACGGGAGTCAGTATATGTACATTCTGCATATAGACCCAACCAATTGGTTTTACCCAATACATGATACAGTCAGTCTGCAGGCAAGGCTGATTAATAACCTCCGCCAGGCCCGGACTGGCCATCGGGCACACCGGGCAAATGCCCGGTGGGCCGCAGTGGCCGTGGGGCCGAGGCCGGCAGGGAGATCACAGGATCTCTCCTGACGGTCTTTGCAGGGCCGGTGCTATCTGAACGCCGGCCCTGCAGTAGTCCATGGCGGGCCGGTGGGGAGATCAGAGATCTCCCTCACCGGCCCACATGCAGGATAGTGCGGCCGCCGGGGGAGAGAGGGAGGGAGCCAGCCTGCCAGCAGAGGAACCCGGCGGAGCTTTAACTTACAGCTCCGCCGGGTTCCTCTTGCGAGATTCGGAGCGTTGCCATGGCAACGCTCTGGGTCTCGCCAGAGTGAACTCTAGCCTCACAGGCTAGAGTTCACTCACCACTAGGACCACCAGGGATGGATGGAAGCCCCAGCAGCAGGATCCCCCCTCCCAGGCTAAAGGTAAGCAGGGAGGGGGGAAATAATCACCTAACTAACATCAGCCTCACAGACACCCCTAACACTCACAGCACCCTCATTCACACACACACACTGCACCCCTGACACTCACACACACACACTGCACCCCTGACACTCACACACACACACTGCACCCCTGACACTCACAGCACACACACTGCACCCCTGACACTCACACACTTCACACACACACACACACTGCACCACTGCACCTGACACTCACAGCACACACACACACACACACTGCACCCTGACACTCACAGCACACACTGCACCCCTGACACTCACAGCACACACACACACACACACACCACCCCTGACACTCACACACACTCAAACCCCTGACACTCACACACACACACTGCACCCCTGACACTCACACACACACACTGCACCCCTGACACTCACAGCACACACACACACTGCACCCCTGACACTAACAGCACACACACACACACTGCACCCCTGACACTCACAGCACACACACACACTGCACCCCTGACACTCACAGCACACACACACACACACACACTGCACCCCTGACACTCACAGCACACACTCACTGCACCCCTGACACACACAGCACACACATACTGCACCCCTAACACTTACAGTACCCACACACTGCACCAGCTTCCTCACACACACATAGCACCCTCACGCAAACACAGCACCCACAGACACACAGCACCCTTACCCACATAGCACCCTCACACACACTGCACCCCTCCCGCACACACACTACACCCCTTACACACACAGCACCCTCACACACACTGCACAATATGCTTTCCTAGCATTTTTGTCTCCTGGTATCCCAACTATGGAGACACCAGAGACAAATTTCAAGCAAACGGTGCAAGTATGTTATTGAATTTGCTTGCGCTGTGCAGAACAAATACAGGGTCTTCTCATGCCAGAGCTCTTTAGCAGAGCTTTGCGTATGGTCTACCCTGGAAGAACATTGAACCAACATGCTCACTTTGTGATGGGGCGTGCTTGTCATTGGTGATGACAAAACACACCCTATCTGGCCCCGCCCCCTTTGTAGTGCGCCGCTGTAATTAAAAAATGCCCGGGCCGAATTATCTTCCCAGTCCGGCCCTGACCTCCGCTGCTATTGTTAATAAAGTGACAGTCTCATAAAATGATATTTCTATATCGGTCCCATCCAAAGTTTCTGAATATCGTAGCTGTTATAATCACACCATTATTCAGATAGATCTATACATAACATACATATATGGGTCTCACATCTCTTACATTTCATTGGTAGACTAGCCCTCGTATTTACTGGCAATTAACCCTATAAGTTATGGCATGTTGTATTAACTGTTGTTTAATACTTTTTTGAGGATTGGAGAAACTGTTTAGTTATTCAAGTGATTTATTGTTACACATATATGTTTACACACATTGGTTTTCAGAGCGGAACATACATTTTACAGCGGTTTGCATGTATTGGTTATTACAAACTTGTTGACAATTGTAAGTTGGAGCGGAGCCCTCTCCGACAATGTTCTCCATGAGATTTCTGTGGACCCGTCGGCGTCTGGTAAGCGTGTCCTTGCGTGGACACGATTAGTATTTGTAACTGTATCCGCCAAACAGTCGTGCATAACAATATGAACAGTAACAGTAACATTTATCATAACTGAACTGTTTCCCGTTATGGATTTAACTGTGTGAGTGCCGGCATCCTACTTGATACCTCATCTATAGATAGGGGTTATATAGGACCCTTCCTACCATTTTCGTGTTGCTGGGGGCAGTGTAATGTAATTGTTTGTAGGCCGTGATGTACGGGCTGTCTATGTCTAGGTGCGCATATTGCAGTTGCAGGTGTGCAATCCCCCCTCTGTGTGTGCATCTCATATTTTCAGTTGTTCTACCGAGGGTCTATGTCATCTGTCATGTTGGATTGTCCCCCTGAAGTAATTTGAGCAGTGTCCCTAGGACATTCGAATATAGAGTGTGACTCGTAGTCTTGTCAAAGTGTAACTCCATTCTGTGACGTGTTTGCCCGTGGGCGTGTGTGCAGTCACTGGTTTAGGCCTTCTTTCCTCCACTTGGGTTGCCCCCTTTCTTCGGTTTCGTTCCCCCTAACATTTTCCCCTCCTGTCCTTTGATGTTTAAAAATTTGTAATGTCTAGTCATGTCCTATCACCCCTCTCGGTTCTGACAGTATGCCCATCTGTGGTCTGTTGTGTCTCGGTTGGTGTAGAGACTGGAGTGTTAAATAGCTCTATTTGTACATCGAGCGGGCAGGCTTCCCCGGAGTGTCCCCGACAGACCCCGCCCCATCGCAGGCGGCGACCAGGAGGAGACGAGAGGGAGAGGAAAATAGGGGGAGGGGAGAGGAGACACCAGGAACAGGGGCAGTAGAGAGGAGCGAGTGTGCCACCTGTACGGCCCAGAGCGTGCCCCCGAAGCGCCCCACCCCCCAAGGCCACCGGCCCACCTGCCCAGGGCAAAGTCGAATGTTTGGTCTTTAATGCACCCCGTTTCCTCCCTGCCCCTCAACTATGCCGTCAGAGAGCCATTTTGTCCAGTGGTATCAAATCTGGTGGTATCGTTGGGTCTTGCCCGCTGTTGGGTCTCGCCAATTGGTGGTATCTGAACTGTGTCAGGAAACTCGAGGGGCGGAGAAACTTTTTTTCTTACAGCTGCTAATACTGTAATTGAAGTTATTTATTTTGTTTACATTATTTTAACTTTGTTTAAACACTTTCTATGAGTTTTTTAAAAATTGCATGTTACATATCTATTAATTTCATATAGATGATATAAAATGCATTTGTTACATATCTAATATACTTTAACATTTGATTTATACACATTTTGGGCGATCAGCAATTGTCTGAATTCCATAACTCTGAATCTCTACATACGAAACGCCAGATGGCAAGTTGATCTGAACAAACCAATTTTTTTCTTTTTTGCACATGACTAATATCTACATTATTATCTACGTCTTAATAGAATCCTCCTTGTGAATATGACTTTATGATATTACTATTTTTTATTATTGTTATTTACATACTTTAATCTGTCTTCTCAATAAATATACTGAACATCATACATTAAATGTGCCATGTATTGTTGGATTTTCATCTAATTTTCCATGTTTGTTTCAGGACATGTGTCTCCAACAGGAATGGTAGAAACCTTCAAATTCCGGAATTGGAGCTCACTCGATCAGCATAACCTGATTCTCTGGTGATAGCCAGCCCTCTGACTATGATTGCACATGCTGGTCTATGTGGGATAATCTCCACTCAGCATGTGGAAGTAGACCCTGACTTGAGTGATGACTTCCAGAGGACAATGAAGAAGAAGAGAAGAAATTAATATTCTGTACTTGTTGGCAGACTTTGCATTACTTACATAGCTCCATGCATTTATTTTGTAACGTTAAATGAATTTATATGTAGCAAATAAGTAAGAGAGTAGGGGACTCGGCAAGTTTACTATGAGCTGCTCTTAACACTGCTGTAAAGATAAATATACATAATATAATAATCCAATTGTCCTAGCTCAGTGGTTAATACTGTCTACAATTTTATTGAATCTACAATTTTGATTCAGGAAGCTCAGCTCATCCTTTCATGGTCAATGAAAGAGTACCTTTTGAACTGGGCAATCCATAAAATCCATACCCCAAGATGTACTTGGAAATTAGCAAACACTAAATGTATCATTCTTGTTTGAATAAACGGATATTAAAATAGTAGCAATGTCCATCGCTCGTTTAGTGTTTACAATAGTAAAAAAGTGATGTTCGCTATGGGGAGAGGAAGTCAAAAGAACAAGGCATTTGAGGGAGATAATTAGATAGGGTGCGTTTAATACCTTCCTTACCAATAACGTGTATACATGAGTTTAAATGTTATGCACGCATTTCTCAACATGGTGTATACAAGACTGCCACTCTCACATAGCCATTGGCATTGCTGGGGTGGGGTGTTTCAGGGCTGAAGCTCCGGGTGTGGGACTTTTTACATCTGAATCTCTACACGTAGTAGAGAGAACAGGAGAATATTAGTGAGGGTTTTTTTGCTTTTTTGGGGGGGATTAAATTTTACAGAAGACAACTTCTTCTCAAAGCAGCCATCTGATAGAAGAAGTAGACCCCTATTATGGTGCTATTCAAGGCTACGTAGCAGAGGGGGTTGTGCTCCTTAGGTAACTAGTAGGTGATGATGAAAAACAGAGCTCTGCTGCACTCCAAACTTTTGCACAGTGGAAAAATTTCTTTTGCTTCAGCCACTTTGTCCTAAAAGTAAAAAAAATAAAAAAAATTAGGGATGGTCCAATTTTGGCAACCTGAAGCATCACTTCATCCAAATTTTGTTAACCAGAAAGGTTTCTGGGAAACTAAACAAACAAACCAAAAGGGCACAAAAATGAGCCAGCGTACTACAAAATATATACATGATCTAAATATTATGTATTGATCTGTTAGTACACTGGCTCATTCTCCTGTCCTCTGGTCCTCCGATAAAGTGAGAAAATGTAACCAATAAAGGGGAAAAGCAGTAAAAAAAACAAAAAACTAAATTTATAAATTTATTAAAGATTTAATGTGTAATGATTTTATTTTACGGCTCCTCCTCCTTTTTCCCCTCTATTGATCATGTTTCAGTTGCTCTGTGAATAAAACCCAACATTTGAACTGGGTGTTCCACAACATTTGGTGGCTGTCCAGTATTCATTAAATATCACTTTTATTTCCATCAATCAACATTTTTTTTTTTTCCTTCTACCATGGGCAGAATTCCGAATCACGAATCAAAGTGAACCTGCTCGTCCATTAGCGATTGTTTGGTTCGTGATTTGGCTACATTTACTCTTTGCGTTCAGAAATACGAACGAGCACCAAATTGGCTCAAATTTGGATGAATTGTAGTTCGTAAGGAAACAAACTTCTAAGGTAGACCCTTCTACTGGGTAGCATGACGATTACATTGAATACCTGACTGTGCCTTCATTGAAATCCTGCACAGCCTTATCGGCAGCAGTAAGCTGTTCATGGCTAGAGAGGAGGGCTCATAACTTATAGAACCAGGAGGCTGGGTGCCACGCTCTGCCTACAGTACGGCCAACAGAAAGGTGGACGACCTATGTCTAAGCCAAGGTAGCACTCTCCGGAGAGTTAAATATAGCTCTCAAGCAGGATCCTCTAGCTCTCTGTTGGACATAGTGCAGACAGGGAACAGCATCTGGAGGACTCCAGGTAAGAAGTCAAAGTGTTCTACTTCTTACAATGGGGGCACAAGGACACTCCTGGCACCATAACCACTATCACAATCTGTAGTAGTGGTTATTTTCTTGGAGTGTTCCTTTAAGCCCCAAGCTGTTTTTGGAACCTAGTAACACTTGTATAAGTGCCATTTATTGATCCTCTAATACACACATCATTGTCTTCTGTGAACCAACAGTTTCATTCTTATGTTATAATGTATGTACTTAGAAAAACACCTCGGCAGGTGAGCTCTCTTTGGGTTTTAGTGGTCTGGTATTATTTTCTAGTTTAGTCCATGTCATTGCTT